CCCCATTAGAGGATGATTATATGGAGTAATTGGTCCTTTCTCGTGTTGGTGTTGTAGATCTAGACCCAAAGAGGCCCAGAGACCCTTTCCCCTTGAGCTTTATGAACATTAATGGAGGTTATGAACTTAGGGTGTCACCTTAGAGGCCATATCTTCAAATAAGGCCTTTGAGCCTTTGCATGTGCACCAAGATATTAGATTTACTTGATTATAATGCCTTGGGAAGCTAGATCTATGGTTTAGAGAAGCGGATCTGACCTCAAGAGGTCAGTTTAGCTTGAGCATGGCATGGACTCGCCAAGTCCTTTAGCTGACTTGACGAGTAGGACGAGGGTTTTCCGATAATCACATAGTTGGTGACTCACTGAGTTGGGAAAGTGACTCGGTGAGTCAGAGGGAATCTAGAGGATAGAGTGCACGATGGTACTCGCCGAGTCAGGAGCCGGACTCGGCGATTTAGGCCATGACATTTCATAGATTGTGATCAGTGATGATTTACAGAGTTGAGGTTGACTCGGTGAGTCGAATAAAGACTAGGAGAGTGAAGAGCATGTGTGAACTTGTCGAGTCACAGTTGCACACTCGACGAGTTTGGTCAAGGTTGACCGTTGACTTCGTTGACTTTTAGGGTTAGTCAATGTTTGGACCTTAGAGTCATAGGAAGGGTTGTATTAATTAGGATATTTATTTCATGTGATTAGGCAGAGGCTAGACCAAAGTTACCGAGTCAGAGATTTACTTAGACATCCGAGGTGAGTCTTCTCACTATACTTTACCTTGAGTAGGTAAATAGAGTTATGTGATACAGTGTTTTATATATATTGTTTGTTGCACTGCATTCTTCTATGTGATTTATGTTGTGCATGCTTGCAGAGTTAGAACCTGAGGGTTCACAGAGTTTGGGTGCACGGACCCACAGAGTTATAGCCTCGAGTGGCTAATATGTGTTATATGTGGTATTTTGGGGAACTCACTAAGCTTTGTGGTTACAGTGTTTTGTATTATGTGTTTCAGGTACTACTGAGGATCGCGGGAAGGCGCCGGTTTGATCAGTACACACACAAGATTTTTATGCTATGAGATCTTGGGATTGATATATGTTATGAATTGAGTTTCAAACAATGATGTTTTTATGAATAATAAAAGAATTATGTTTTTATAAAATGGAAAAAATTGTTTTGGAAATTTACGTTGTTACAAGGAAGTTTATGGTTTAAAACAAGCTCCACGAGCCATGCATACAACTCTTACTTCATTTTTAAAGCAATCTAAATTTGAACAAGGATCTGTTGATTCCACATTATTTCGTAAGAAAGTGGGGAATCATCTTATGCTTGTTCAAATTTATGTTGATGATATTATTTTTGGCTCAACTGACCCTGCTTTGTCTAAAGAATTCGAAGACTTGATGAAAAGTAAGTTCGAAATGAGCATGATGGGAAAAATTAATAATTTTATTGGTTTAACCATTCTTCAAAGAAGAGAAGGAATCTTTATTAATAAAGAAAAATGATTAACGAATAACACAAAATTACGAGTTCCAATGGCAACTGGCATCAAGCTAACACCTTCTATAGATAAACCTGTAGTTGATCTCATTTTATACAGATGCATGATTGGATCTTTACTATATTTAACTGCTAGTAGACCTGATATCATGTTTTCTGTGTGTAATTATGCTAGGTATCAATCAAATCCACGAGAGCCACATCTTACTGCTGTAAAGAATATCTTTTGTTATCTCAAAGGAACTATTTCGCTTGGATTGTGGTATCCTTCGAATACTAGGTTCTTTGTTCAAGCATATTCGGATGCATATTTGGGAGGTTGTAACCTTGATAGAGCACAAGTGGTGGATGTCAATTGCTAGATGGCAAGTTGGTGATCTAGCAATCGAAAAAAGCAACCATATGCTTCAATCTCAACGGCTGAAGCTGAATATGTTGTTGTTGTTGCATGCACTTCACAGATAATATGGATCCATAGTCAATTACGTGATTATGCAATTAACATGAAAAAGATTCCTTTATATTGTGATTCACAAAGTGCAATAAGAATTTTTCATAATCATGTGTAGCATTCGAAGACTAAACATATAGCTCTTCATTATCACTTCATCAAAGATAATGTGGAGGATGGAAATATTGAAGTACACTTTGTGAAAACAACTGATCAGTTGGTTGATATTTTCACGAAAGCTTTGGATGAAAAATCGTTTATACGAATTTTTGGAGGACTGGGAATGATTAATGTAAATTCAATTCCATGCTAAAAAGACAAACAGTGATTACGAGAGAATGAGTCAGAGGCGCTGAATAAAAGACAAAGCAAAATCATTCAGCATTCAGAGGTTACTGTTCATAGTCAACTCTTCGAACGCTTCGAATTTATATGATTGGTATTTTTCTTAGCTTGGTAACACTTTGAATGTTTGCAACGAGTGCTTTTAATTGTTTCATTCTTTATTTTTTTAAAATCAAAAACATCAAAAAGATTTTCTTATTATTTTGTTCTTTATATTTGAAAAATCAAAAACATCAAAAAGATTTTCTTATTATTTTGTTCTTTATTTTTGAAAAATCAAAAACATAAAAAAAAAATTCTTATTATTTTGTTCTTTATTTTTGAAAAATCAAAAACAACAAAAATATTTTGTTTCTTCATTCTTTTTAAGTATTGTGTTGCAGATATATATATATATATATATATATATATATATATATATATATATATATATATATATATATATATATATATATATATTGGAATAGTTAAGATGTCCCTAGAAGCATGCTGTTGCATGTTGTCCGAAGCCTCGAAAGGACTCAATGTTTGAAAGCCTTAATGAAATTTTCATACGAAGATTTCATTCCAATTAGGCTTACATTCACATTAGTCCAATGAGCTACCTTACTCTTCTCATATGAGTTAAGAGTTTACTTTTTGGTCCAAAATAACAGAGGTACACATTCTTTCGTATACCAATATTTTTCATCTCAAAATTCTTACACTATCACACACGAAGACATATGTCCAAGAGGTTTCTGATCAAACCAATCGAAACCTAGATACATTACAAATCTGTGTTTATGATCAGATATCATGAGACCATGATGGAAGTGAAACCCAATTCAATCAACCTTTAAGGAATTGATGGGGAACTATGTTCCAGGCTTCAACGAAACATGTGTTTTGTACCTACGTTCGAAACTCAAAATCATATTCATTTCTTATGAGTGGTCTTGATCAAACATTCGAAATCCACGATGTTTCTTACCCAACATGATCCAGAATACAATATTTTTCTTGAATATGATTTCAGTGTGAGTTTTATCCGAAATTCCATGTTACTTAAAAGTTTTTCAAAGCAAACTTGTTACTGACTACACTGGTCAAACAAGTAATTTCTGTTACATTTACTCACCTTATGTTTAGGTTGATATGTAACGAAATTCATTAAACCACCTCAAAAGCCTTTTAAAAGAAGCCCTTCGATACTTATTTAAAAGTATTCGATTGTAATTCACGGGAACATACACAAGTTGTTGATTATCTCTCTTGATAATTAACAAAGCAATCTTTGTCCGAGGTTTTAACAGCCTTCGTGTCAAATTGAATTTTTGACATCACTGAATACCCAATTTTTTTAATTGCTTCTCATCTTTATTCTTTGACACACCGCGCAGACGAAATACTTGAGGTTTTGAGTAACACCAACTCAGGCTGATGATTACAAGAATTCGGGCAAATGACTTTATTTTGAAACCCTAAAGTAAAAGAGCCTTACCTCGATCTGAAGGGTTCCGACGGTTACTATTCCATTGGGGCAAACAATCCAACCTGGTTGAGGGGATTGTTTGAATTTTGTGCGGGTTTTGAGGAGACGTGATAGTTGCTTTATCACACATGGTTATTTTTTCATCATCATGACACGGTTTTCTTGGTGACATGTCAGCTGGCATTAAATGCACATCTTGCTTTTAATTCAAACATCAAGGTTACATATAAAAAGGAGTTCAAGGGTTCTTTATCTCTTTACGCATTTAAAGAAAATTCCTAATTCTCTCTAAATTTCAAAGCTTCAAAACCCTAACAATGGCGAATACTGCTAATGTCGATGTTGCACCTTCTCAAACAACTGATGATGTTTCTTCACTTCCAATCATGAAGATTCAGGGCACAAATTATCAAATGGAATATGATGTATCATAATATCCAGAAGAACTTAAGATGCTCGTTGTTGCTTCAAAGAGCTCTGTTTTATCAAAGGCGATGTTTAGTTCTTTCTCTGTTCCGATTACTTGGTTATCTTAGGCAGGATCGACGACTACAGTTACAAAAGCTTTTGATGCAATTACTTTTAACCTAGTGAATGATAAAAAAGTTAGAATCACCAAAAAGCTTTTATGTCAGATTCTGTAAATCCCAAATTCTACACCATACGTTAATTTCACTTTCCCTCAAATTGTTCATATGTTCAACGAGATGGGACATCAACCACAGTTATCAAAAATTAGTGATTTCAAGAAGTCATGTCTTCCAAAAGTCTGGAATTTTATGTTTGGGATTTTCTTGCGGTGTTTAACTAGAAGAACGGCGGGTCTGGATAAAGGTTGTATGGAAGTATATGCCATGCTTGCTGGGTTATACTATGATCTACAAGCTGATTATTCTTCTCAAATTTGGAAAGACTTTAAGAAGAGTGTAGAGAAATCAGATGAAATTCATGGGATTTCATGTGCAAGATATTGGAGTTTAATCTTGCAGTATTTCTATGATAAAGAAGGCATTTTGGTTTCGAATGACGAAGACAAAGCAGTTTTCATGTGTACATTTATCCGAAGGATGCTATAGATGATGCTGATGAATTTCCTTCTGTGGCTCGAATCCCTGATGCAATGTTGAAAAGGGTTGATCCTTCAAACCTAGTATTAGAGGCTTATTTACAAACCATCGACCCATCGGTGACAATTGGTGTTTTGTTAGAAAAGGAGGATAAAATGTCTAAGCGTGGGAAAAAGAATGAATCTGGTTCCTCTGAGAAAAGTGTAAAAGAAACTAAGCCCAAAAAGTCTCCAAAGAAGAAGTCTGCTATAGTTGAAGACCCTATTATTCAAGAAGTTTCTATTGCTGAGGTCACACCTGTTGAGCCTACCATTGTTGAAGAGACTCAAAAGGAAGAAATAATTCCTTTGAAGACTGGGGTTTTTCGTAGACTTAAAATGAAGTCTCATTATTTATGTAAATCTTCACCTAATGTTGTTTGCAAGCCTCAAGTGACACATCAAGGTGTGTTAATTCGCGAAGTTCCAACGCCTGTTTCTCTGTCTTTGAAGAAACGCAAGGCTGAAGATATGGCCAAACACTTGTCTAAAAAGAAGAAGAAGAAGTCACGAAATCTTGTGATTACAAATGAGTCTACTGAAGAAGATGAACGAATTCCTGAAACTCCAAATCTTGATCTCATTAAAGAACTTTCAACTCCTGAACAAACAAGTATTATTCCACCTGAAGTTTCGAATGTCAAGTCATCTAATGAGGCGACACGAACTTTGGACATCACTGTACACGTATCTAATATGGATACAAATGTCAATATGGGTGAAGAAGATCCGAAGGATGATATTCAAGGTAATCCTATTTCCACTACTTTTGAAACTTTTGTCTCTCTACCTCCTCAAATTAGTACTGTTACTTCTACCACTGATTCACCAACATTCGAACACATCATAAATCAACCTTTCACTTCCATATTTTCTTCACAATCAACTGATCCACCCAAATCCATTTCACCTATTGATGAAACCATTCTCATGGAAACTGATACGGATAACAAAGGTTTTGGAGGAACCTTTGAGACTTTAGCATTTGATGATAATGAAGCAGATTTTCTGGATCATATGCTGATGACTATGAAATAATTCAAAATCTTGAATTCAAAGTTAAATGCTATTATTCAGTCACAAGCTGATCTTGGTGGTGGTTCCTTAGTTTCGAGCTTGGAAGTAGATTCGATGTTGAAGCTGGTCGAAACAAGGATTATTAACAAAGTCTCTGGGATGGTTAGGGACTCCGATGAAAGGATATTGGAAAAAGTTGATTAAACTGATACTACTAACGAACTTCGTATCAGTTCTCTAACTTCAAAAGTTGCTTAAAGAGAGGATCTGCAAAATGAGGTTACAAATGTTACAAATTCGTGAACTTCGTGAGGATCTGCAAAAGGAGGTTACAAATGTTCAACGTGACTATGCTTCTTTACATCAAAAGGTTGACATAATTTGTGATGGGGTCACTAAATTTTTCAAATTGTATGAAAGTATGAGTCCTCAACTTACTCAACTTTCTACAATGGAAAATAAAAAATTTCATGAAGTGATTTTGTATATCAAGGAGTTAAAAGAATTGTCTGTCAAGCCTGTTTCCTCATCCTTAATCACTCCATAATTTTTATCCCAGAAGTGTATTCAATTCGAAGCCATTCTTCAAAAACAATCATCTCCTTTATCTCACATTTCAAGCCTTCTACCAGCCATGTCAGATGCCCCACCTGTTTTCACAGGGGTGCAAGGGGGAGAAAGGAGAATTGAAAGTACGAAGGCGGGTGAAGGAGAGAAGGTTAGTGGTGAAGATTTGAAGGTGGTGGGAAAAGTTATTTCTTCATAGATCCCGTCTTCGTAGCCTGTTATAATGTCTGTTGGTCCAGTCACTTCAATTGTTGTGACATCAATGCCTATGACCAGACCAGTACAGAAAGGTGTTGATTTTGGTGAGGCAGTTGGAAGTGCTTCGAAATCTAAGGTAATAGTGGGAGAGTCTGGTTCGAAAGACAGAGGTAAAGAAATTCTTATTGAAAAATCTAAGGAAGAAAAGAAGGTTGAAGTCGATGCTGAGTTGGAAAAGATGATGATGGTTCAAAGTGTAATGACTCTTCGTGCACAAGATCCCCCAAGTTTAGAGAAAGGAGATCCAACAAAGCAATACAACTATGAAACAATTGAAGCTAAGGTGTCAATTGACCATATGTATTCTTTTGAAAAGATGCCAAAACAAAGTTATGTGGTCACGAACACTGATGCAAGTCAGCTTGACTTTCCAGTGAATGAAATGATGTTTATAATGCCTCGGTTTAAAGTTGAAATAATTTGTAAAGATAAGGATGAAAGGAAGCAGATGAAAATTCGATTTCATGTAGTGTTAGCAAGAGCTCTAGAAGATGTTTGGTTCCTGGTGAAAATCATGAAGGTGATAAGCATAAAAAAAATATGTGATTTTCGAAGGCGTTATTCAAAATCTCAAATATTCGGTGATCATGTCGAATGGAAAAAATAGTGAATTTACTATTACTGATTTTCCTATAATAAACTTGTATGATCTTATGCAAGTTGCATTAGTTTTGAAAGATAAATCATTTTCTCATCTTCAAGAAACAGAGCCTGATGTATTCCAGCTTGGAGTTAAGCACATTAAGATCTTCATTGAAAATTATTTTGAATTTTTGGCACAAATTGATGTGGAGTTAGCTACTGCAAAGGGAATTCATATCACTGCTCCAATGGCTCCTACAAAGAAGCAAGAAGAATTGAAAAAGTATGAAGATGGAGAAATTTGTTTGAAGCCATTCGGAATAGTTTTTGCTAGAAAGGATAAAGCTGGAAGAGGTAAACGGTTTTTGTTTCAAACATGCAAAGTGGAAAGATATGCTACTTCATGGTATACAAATTTAATTGTTCGTATGAATAAGTGCATGAAGAATAATGAAGGAGACAAGAAGGAAATCAGGAAGGTTATTGCTTGGTACACTAAGATACGAAGAGTGATGATGTACTCGATCCAATTGTTTACAAATTGAAGACTTCGACTATTATTACAAAGGGGGAGATTGTAAGTGCTAAAATTGGTTGTAATTAGTCGAAGTGTCATACGTCTTTGTATATAGTATAATCTTCGTATTCACTATAATCTATTTTACTAAGGAACATTATTTGAAGCTTATTTGTCTAGTCCTTAGTATATTTTTTGTATGCTTTTCTTCTCCTAAAATAGGAGTCTTTACTAGAGTTAGATAAGGTTTTTATAGTCTTTTCTATTTTGTACTCTGTAAACCTAAAAGCGTAATATTGAGCTGAATCAAGATCTTATTTAGATCGGTGTTCAATCTTACCTACATTTTTTATTTCAAACTCTGATTAAAATTCATAGTCGATTCTTTGATTCATCAGAGTCCTTATCACGAGTGGCTAACATCAAGCCTATTAGGGTTATGCTAGCCATAGTTGCATTTCATGACTATGAAATATGGCAGATGGACGACAAAACCGCCTTCCTTAATGGGAAGCAGGCTGAAGATGTTTACATGAGTCAGTTATAGGGTTTTATAGAAGCTAAGTACCCTAATAGAGTGTGTAAGCTTGAGAAATCAATTTATGGATTGAAGCAAGCTTCTTGCAGATGGAATCTTTGCTTCAATGAGAAAGTCAAAGAATTTGGTTTCTCTAGGAGTGAGGATGAGTCTTGTGTATATGTCAAAGCTAGTTGGAGTACAGTTAGTTTTCTAGTATTGTATATTGATGACAAACTGCTCATTGGAAACAACGTTCCAACCTTGTAGGAAGTTAAGTCTTGCCTTGGAAAGTGTTTCGCTATGAAGGATCTAGAAAGAAGTTGCTTACATTCTGGGAATAAGGATCTTGAGAAATACGAGTAGAAGACTAATTGGACTTAGGCAAAGTACTTACTTGGATAAAGTGCTAAAGCATTTTATAATGGAGAACTACAAGAAGGGAGAATTACCTATCCAGAGCAACACCAAGCTAGTAAGACTCAGAGTCCGAGTACCAATACCGAGATAGCAGAAATGAGTCGAGTTCCATATGCTTCCGCTGTTGGCTCGATCATGTATGTTATAACATGTACTCTCCCTGATGTGGCTTTTTCATTGAGCATGGTTAGTCGATATTAAGGGAACCCGGGTAAGGCTAATTTTATAGTAGTTAAGAACATTCTTAAGTATTTGCGACGAACAAAGGATTAGGTCCTTGTGCTCGGTGGCAGTGATGACTTGATAGTTACTGGTTATAGTGATGCCAATTTCCAGACATACGAAGACAACTTTCATTCTCATTCAGGATGGGTGTTTACACTCAATGGGGGAGCAGTGACTTAGTAAACGTTCTAAGCAAGAGACCATGACTGATTCAACGTTTAAATCATAGTATATAGCTGTGAGCGAAGTGTTAAAGGAGGCTATATGGTGGAAGAAATTCATTGGAGACCTTGGAGTTGTTCCAGTACTAAAGGAGCCTATTGAAATTTCTACAATAATGAAGTAGTGGTTTCCTTAACCAAGGAACTAAGGGATCATGGTAGATCCAGACATATCGACGGAAAATATCAGTTCATTAGACCTCACGTAGAAGAATGACTCCTCGTGGTCAAGAGGGTATCGTCAGAAGAGAATCATGTAGATCCCCTTACAAAGGGTCTGAGTAGGATTAAGCACATTCAGCATGCAAGGAGCATTGGTCTGAAGGAGGATATTAGTTTTAGTGATTAGATAGATATTTTAGAAATCTGTAACACTATAAATGTAATTGATATTTGATGATTAATTAATATAGATTTATTTATAAGTAATAGTTTACTATCTTTTGTCAATTGTTTATCTTGTGTTTCACTTTGTATGTTTTTCTTCCTGAATAATTGGATTTTTCAAACTGTCCATAGTCGATCATACTTTGGAAGTAAGTAGTGAATTAAGACTGTCATGAATTGGCTTGTAAATTTTCTAAGTGAGTAGACAGAACAATTGTTTGCTGCATTGTTCATCAGTACTCTTGAAATGGGGATTTGAGTATTAGATTAAACATACTCTCATTTCAATTACTTCATAGAATTTATCATGAGTAATTATGAGATGATAATATCGTATAATCTTTAAACCGAGATAGATGAGTTGTTGATTACGAGTTGGTTGTACATTAATAATGCGTAAACGCATCAGTAACTTGATGTTATAAAACACATTGTTGTGTATGATTGATGAGTAAATAGTACAAGCATATAAGTCAAAGTTTATCTGTTCCATTTACCCCAAGGGGATAAAAGCGATATCTTGGGCCCCTCGATGATTTTGTGTTGACTTAAGTGTCGGGCCCGGTTAGGACTGATTTGATGTGTTCAATTAAGGTCCTTTTCATACAAATCAGAAATCGGGAAACAAACTGTTAGACATTGAGAAGGATTTTACTCCATGTCTTTGTCCACATGATATCTCGCAGAACGGAGGAATATATGATCCCTTATCTTAAGGACACGACTGACTAGGTCAAAGTTCGACAACGGCTTCTGAGAGCTACGATTGCTTATCAGATTTTGAATTCATACTTGCAGTTATAGTTATTAGACTTATCCAAGTGGGAAACTGTTGGACTAGGTGTCTAAGCCCATAACTATAATTCATATGAATTTGATCTAATAGTAGGATGGTCCTTTTGGGTTGTCTTCACTTTAGCAACTTGACAGGATAATTTATGGAGATAGAGGTTAATAAATGATTTATTAATATATTATGGAAATAATATGTTAATTAGAAATCATATTATTTAAATTGTATTTAATTAGAGATTAATTTGGGGATTAAATGAATTGATTAAAAGAATGGGGATTGTTTTGCAAATCATTGATAGTTGCAAAACTAGGTTGTTGGACTCCACTGGAATGGGGTGGATGGATTTCTATAGGGAGGCCCTATAGAATTTGTCCAAGGCCTTCTAATGGGAGTCCATGGGTTGGTTAAGCCCTAAGCAGGAAATTAGGATTTCCTCAAGAAACCCTAGCAACCCACCAACTATTTAAAGACCCCATGAATATGATGTATTGAGCTTAGATCTGAAGGATATGAGCTTCATCCATTAAGAAG